GAATAACAGAAATAGAGGGAGAAATTAATAGCGAAAGCAGTGAAGGAAGGAGGGAGTGTGTGTGTGTGTGTGTGTGTGTGTCTAGCCTATCCATTGGTTTTTAAATGAGTGTGAGTGCAAACAGCCACTTCATGAGAGCAACACCCTGCAGAGATAAGACCGGCTAAGTACAAGGCTCAATTATTTACTGTTTGAAGGGTTTAGGAGAATTGGAAGGGCTTCATGAAAATTGATGCTTTTGTTGTTGAGTGGGTGGTGAAGTTTAAACGACGGCCGCTGAGCCATTAGCAGGGGTCACCTCTAATCTGAGTGTATGTTGGTCATGTTGGTGGTGGGAAGAGTGGGGCGGCTGCCACGACCTGCAGGAGGAAACCAGCTCCTGTCCTGACGAACGATCTGACGCTCTTGAAGGGGTTGAAAAAAGTTGCATGCTGCAGCTCTGCAGGCACTCAGATCTGAAACTGGTGCGATGAGATGATCTCCTAAATTATCGCTGAGAAGCAGTGAATGGAAACAGCACTTAATGATATGTTGTGATGTTATGAGTGTGGGAGGCAGCAGGCCTGCGTGTGCTGACAGAAATAGAATAAACAGAAACAAATTAGTCGCCCTCTTTTCCCACATTGTCACTGTAGCTGATGTGAAAGTTTTTTTTTCTTACAGGGCTGCAACTAAAGATAATTTTTTTATTAAACTGGTGAATAATAGTTCATACCCTACGATGTCTTTAGATTGCTTGTTTTATCTGACAAACAATCCAAAGTGCAAAGATACTTATATTTAACAAGCTGTATCCAGTGATTGTCATTATTTCTTAATAAGAGCCTGACTGATAAATTGGTTGCAGGATTTTGGCCTATCGCAGACATATCAGTATCGTATCGGTATCAGTATTGGCAATATGAAAAATTTTATTTTCCATTATATAATGCAAAAACGCTTGTAGTTTTTACTGTACTGATGTTAGCCTATTTATTTTATTTTTATTTCTATTTATTTATTTTCCCTGTGTTAATTTCTAGAATTAGTTGACAATATAGCCTTATGTTAGATTATTTAACATATTAAAGAACTACTTTCACGTAGCCATATCGGTGCAAAATCGATCTATCTTTATTCCAGCTGAAAAATTCACTATATCTGCCGCCTTATACTGTGAAGTTTTGGTCTCAATAAAGCCATATAAGTCGGGCACTATTCTTAAGATATTACTTGATTGCATGATTGATGATGTCAGTTAATTAGATATTTATCAATTAAAGTGACTATTTGTTCTAGAATAAATCCCAACTGCAAACTCAGCACTGGAATCAAACCACCACTGATTTCACCCCCCAAGAAGATTTAATGGGCATGACTCAGCAGGAGTCAGGAGAACTGATGGCCCTGAAACAACAGCACCGACAGCACTTCTGCTCGTCTGTGGTGGAGTTACAGCAACGTCGGACTGCATGTGTACAAATACATGTTGAATTCCTCAGATTCACTAAACTCTGGCAGGCAGGAACGAGATCAAAGGATGGAAACATTCTTGTGTATTAGGTTCACCTGTCAGAGCACCTAAAGACATCAATCATGGATTTAGAGGAGGGTGGTCTGCTGGGAGCCTCATGTTGCAGTCCGACCAAAAAAAAGAAAAATTGGTGCTGTCAGGTTGAAATATTCAGTACTGCTGGGATCCGTCTTCAGAATCAAGTTCTACAAACTTTCCAGACTCGTGAACAACATTAGAGTCTCGGTGCATTTATCATATTAAGAGAATGAGAGGGTCATTGTGTGCTGACCTCCATCTAGGTTATACACTGTCTATGGATAAGTACCTAATACAACCCTTCCTCAAAAAACCTAAACTATCCCTTTAAGTTTCTAAGTTGGGCTACAATATTTTGACTACTGAGTAATCGATCAGTGTTTTTTAAAAATCTAATATCACATGAAGCATTAAATTCACACATCTGAGGAGCTGGAACCAACAAATGTTTTACATTTGTCTTCTTTTTAAACTATGTAAGGCTCTCCTGCACATTGTTCTATTTATTTTCAATTCTATTGTTGTATATATATATAAAATATAAAATAAAAATAAACAAATGATAAATCAATAATCAAAAGATTTGCCAATTCATTTTTCAACTAACCATTGCATGATGTAACAATATAAGTTTACATATTTCTTCATAAATTAGCAGGTTTGCATAAATTGGCCTCGTATTGAGCTCAGAAAAATTGTCCCTACTCTCTAACATCGATAGGTTTCACTACTATAAAATAGACTTAACACCTCAACTAGTTTATATCGCATACTTTGCAAGAGGACATTCAACATCTTTCCAGACAAGCTGCAGTTTTCTCTGTATTCTCTGTAATTTATGCATACATTATACATTATTATTTTTAAAAGGTGTACACATTAAACATGTTTAACTGCACATGCAAAAAAGAAATATGAGCATACGTTCATATGCGGTGATCCCTTTGAAGCATTAATGCATATTTTGTGTAAAGCTGTGCCCCTTTCACCTCATTACAAGCCTGGGTTAATAATGTTTAATGCAACATCATTTCATGTCTGTGAAGTTCCACTTTGCATGCATTAGCAGAACAAGAGTGTGAGACTTATCTTATACGATGAGCATTGCACTGCAAAGCGGCCAGATGTTAAATCCCAAATAATTCGCCCTAGATTTAACTCTTGCATTTATCTCTCTGCCAAATCTGGCTCTGCTTTGTGGCTTTAAGTCATAGTCTTTCATTTCCAGAAGTGGGGGTGTTTATGTGCTACTACAAATGACCTATGGTTTTGCTAGCTTTAGCATGTGTGAGTGTGGCTCATGTTTCTTGTGGGAACTTCTTGCAGAAAGCCGCACTGAGCAGCGAATCTGGACTTTTAGTTGCTGACGATTATAAAAAGTGAAACGTGAGCGCATTCCTGAGGGCCAAGGTAGAGCTGTGTGGCTACACAGCTGAGGGCTTATTGAAAGATGAGCGCTTAGCAGGAAATTAGCCTACAGAAGAATCCCGAGGGGTCACAGAGACAAAAATGCGCACACATAAATGCATGCTCATACACTGCATTCCCTATTCATCATCCCCCCACTGATGATCCCTTTTTTATATGATCATCACACACGTCCCATCATTATGTTAAGGCAATAAGTCACAGTTGACTGCTGAACTGTAACATGACCCGGTCTTTGTGTTCAGACCTCGTATGAGTCTGAGCTCTGCAGACTCCCTGACTTGTGAAGTTGTACAACTGTGCTGCTCTCAGGCATTGTGTGCCCCAGATTTGTGATGGGAGTAGTGTTGTGAGGCTGTGAGAGAGCGACAGCTGACTAAGCTGGGACCAGAGTGGAGTGGAGAGGAGGGGTGGGAGATGGGGCAGAAGGGGGAGGAGAGGGAGGTGGTGGTGGTCAGACAAGTCAGCGTCCACTGTTTGGATCCCTGGGGAAACTGAGCCAGAAGAGACGGGACTACAGTTGCAGCTGTTGTTACACACACACACACACACACACACACACACACACACAGAGAAAGATTATTCTTAGCCTATTTCTAAATGCATCCGGTGTCTTTTTAAATCTAGAATGCTCACTGACTTGTTCGTTGAGTGTTACCTAAAGTTATAACGTGTTCCTGTGAGTGGCGTTAAAGCTGAGAGAATATTGATCAAAGCACATCTGGCAGCAGATAGAGGTCATTTTACTGTGAGGAAAATGTTGGATTGAGTATGACACATAAACACAAGAGACAAATTAAGACCTTTTTATTCTTGAATTTGGGCTTAACTAATGATTATGTTCAACATCAATTAATATGCTGTGAAATGTCATAAAACTGTGAAAAGTGAGTGAGTTAAAACTATTATAGTGATGTTATGCCACACCAGTTTTTGCAAACTGCAACAGGGAATGCTTTGTTTTAAAAGCATCTTTGTTTTCACTTTTCTTTGTTCAAGTTCAAGTTTATTTATTTATGAATCTCTTTAAGTGAGATTCCTTTAGAGAACCAGAAACTCTTAATATTTTAGACGAATTGTCTCAAATGACTTCACACAAAAAGAAAAGCAGACTTATGTCTAACTAACAATCACACTATGAATTATATAATGCAGTAAGCCACAACATGAAACACAAAAACAGAAACTAGTTTAGGGCTGAACTAATAATTATTGTCATTACTGAATAATCTGCAGATCATGTAAAAAAATAGAAAAAAGCAATAGTTTCCAAGTCCAAGATGAAGCCTTCAGAATATTTCCATGTCTCAGCAACAGTCCCAACCCAGAGATATTGAGTTTAAAATTGTATAAAAGAAAGCAGAAAAACAGAGAAGATGGAACCAATGCATGTTTGCTAGAAGAATTAATTAATTGTATGAGTTCAAAAAGAGCCACAGCATATCATGTTTTTATATCAAGAATGCATCTCAAGAATTATTTCTACAGAGCAGATATGTTTGAGCAAAGGATCTCTGCAGCAGGTATTATTTTCTTGGCTTTTGTCGGACAAAGTGCTCTGGGACAGAAAGATGAACTGATTGATGTAGTTTGATGTGTATCTCATATAAACCGTCTCAGGGATTGAGTGTCATGAAGAGCCTGTGATGAACTGGAGGGCTGCAGAGTTCGTGTTGCTTTTGTTTATTTATTGAAGACACTGATGGAGTTGTTGTACGGATTTAGAATCAATTTAGTGCACAGTTGATGCACTGGCAGTGAGTGACTTGCTGGCTTTGCCCTCAATGAACCCGTTAGTCATGCAGCAGCACTTTACTGTAGTGAAGATGCAGAGCAGAGCAGAAACAAATCGGACTGATGGCTACAGCTGAAAGCAAAAGCTGGTTGGCTAGAGTCTCGATATTGTTCTTTATTTTGTAGGCTAAATTCTACTTATATAAGAGTAAATATGTAAATAAAAAGCTCCAGAATAGCAACTTAATGCACCAACAAAGTAAGAGATTCACCACTTGATACACAAAACCAAAGTCAAGACACAGAGTAACATTTCATTCTGAAAACAGATTTAATTTACAAAGAGTCAGTGACAGTTGTACAGTGCACATGACACAGAATCACTACTGACGGTTTGCAGAACCCTGATGAAAAATATCAACAACAGTGCTGAAAATTACACTTAGACAACTGTAAATAGGAAGAAATAAATGTTACATTTACATACACATACTGTGTGATATGACATCTCAGACTGTGCCTCGTGGCATCAACTGTGTGTGTGTGTGTGTGTGTGTGTGTGTGTGTGTGTGTGTGTGTGTGTGTTGGACCCTTTGAATGTGTGGTATGTATTGACCTGAATACTGAGACAACACCATATGGATCGACTGGCCAAGACACTCAAAAGACCGAAGGCCTAATCCCTGCTGGCTAAGTTGATTGGTCTGGGATCCCTTTTTAAAACTGAGTGAAATTAACTGCTTTTTCATAACAATAAGAAGTTAGAGTATCAGATTGTCCTTGCATAACAGTGGTCCTCTATAAAAGCATTTTAAGTCAGAGCAGGCAGTATCATCTGTAATCCTGAGGGAATCTTGATATTTATATGAAGGAAGCCGTAGTTTGTTTTTGTCTGTTTGATGCTGCTTGAAATGAGAAACACAGAAAAATGATTATGATTCAAGAGAATAGATACTGTAAGTCAAAGATGAACTCATCAGTCTGTGGTTTAAATACAAGCGTTGTGGTGTTGTTTACATGTTACGGTAAGAACTGTAATATAACTGTGACATATTTATCTGTGCAGAATAATGAAAACCATGCGATGGGATATTACAGTAAATATTTGTTATAGCTGTTGTTTGATTGATGACAAATATGTACAATGTTCTGTACATTTAACTTGATCCTGTCTGATAGAGATTATGGGTCTTTACCTCCACTCTGTCTCATCATTGTTGCAGCCTTGTAATGTATTCACCTGTGTGTTTTGTATATATACAGTATGTAACACCATCGTCATAATTCAGTTCATCCACAAAACTTTGGGATTAAACAAGCCCGTTTTGCATCTTATTCGGACACTGTCATGAATGGGCTTTACATAACGACCGGGTACCAGATGGCAGTCAGTCAATCAGTACTGGCTGTGCCATCTTTACCCCCTCCTCTCCCTGTGTAACAACCCAGGAGGACTGACAGTTGACTCAACATGTGCCATGTCTGCATGGCAGAGAAGAAAAAATTGTATTTCTAATATGACAGCAAGCACAAAACTGCTGAATATGAGGGACAAGTCCCGAAGTTTAATGTGCAGTCTTTTAACTAAACATGCTCTGTATTGCTGTTAGGTCTTGCTTAGTAAAATGAAACTAGGCAAAACTTCCTTAAACTGTATTTGGAACCCATTTAAATGCGGCAGTGTTTTAAAAGTTTAGTCCTGTGTAAAATTCCTTCCCTGAGCAAGGTGAATGAGACCAACGGGTTCAGTTAAACCTGAGTTTCCATGGCGCCAAAGGCCTGCTGGAAACAAATGTGAGCTTATGACTGTGTTTAGTGGCAGTGCGTTCAGTAACAGCTGTTTTGTAGCATCACTTATAAAAACAGTAACCATGCAATCCAACAGTTGGTGTTTCTATTCATAGATGCAAAGAAGTGATATATATGAGAGTATGTCTTGTAGCATAGGAGTGTCTGTGGATGTTTAATTAGAAAGATCTGTGATGATGGTGACATTCTGAGAAAGATGTAGATTTCAAGGTACCGTCTTTTAAGACATCCAGAGAATCCAGTCATACATGCACACAAACACGTAAGAAGAAATGTGAATAATACAAAACTTGCAGCATAAGTCCTCAAAATATGTTTCTCTTTAACTCCGCCTCAGACACTCTCCAGCACACACTCACACACCCAGACACACACAGCAAACAAGGTTTAGGTTTTAGGATTGTCAGACAAAATGCTGCCCTGATAATCTCATTGTGTTTGTGTGTGTGTGAAGTTCATTGGTTCATTTTTGGAAGATAACTGTATCCAAGCCTTGTATTCATTCATTCATTCATTCATTCATTGCCCTCCAGCACAGCCAAAATCCCCTAGCACCTGTCACTCACTCAGTCTGGCATCACTGGCAGTCTGTTGGCCTCACTGTCAGACCCACACAGCTGTGTTGTAGTCAAACAAGGGCTGCATTTTCTCCAGACCAGTCTCTGGCTGTCTCCTGTCTAAATAAATCCCAGCAAATGGCTGCTGGTGGACCTGGGGGAAGTGGTGTTGGTGGTTCCTCTCCGCTTCAGCTAGATGCAGACACGGCCTGCCTTTGCCCTGCTGTCCATTTGCCCAGAACGGCAGGTAAAAGCTGCCTTTTGAACTTTTAGGAACCAGTTTCTTAGGCCTTTTGAAGAGGTCGCCCTCCGGCAGCTCAGGAGCCATCCAGCCAGGTCTTTCCTTGAGCAGCTTGTCCCTGTCGGGCCGGACGCTGCGCAGGAACTTCTTGAAGATGTTTGTAGTTAAAGAGAACTTTCTGCAGATCTCCTGTGAGCGGCTGAGGCGGAGAGGGTGAGCGGGGGTGTCCGGTCTGTCCGTCCCTCCATCCACTATCTTCTCCTCTCTCCTCTTCCTCCTCTCCTCTTCTTCGCCCTCTTCCCTGTCCACCTCAGGCAGGTCCAGCCAGTTGCCCACAAGGTCGGCGAAGACGTTGTCGCCCAGCACTAAGGGCTGACGGTTGCGGCTGCGGCTCATGAGCGAAGATGTCCAGTCGCTACCATCGTCTGTGCTGTCCTGGGAGTAGTCACTGTCCAATGAAGGGCCCTCTCTAGAAAGGCTGTACAGGATCCCAGGCAGGTCCACCTCCTGAGCACGACGGGGAGCCTGTAGATTAGGGTAGGGCTCCGGTGGAGGGTTTCCCACCATGGGTCCATAGAAATCCACCTGTGGGGCGGCGTATCCTGACCACCTCCTGGGTATAGACTCAAGGTCATTCTCACTCCTTGTGCTTCTTGCGCTTCTTTCACTTCTTTCGCTCTCACTCTCGAGGCTGGACGAGGAAGATGAGGTTCCCAGGCTGCTTCTGTTTTGAGACGGGCTCCTGTCATCTCTGCTGAAGGTGTTTCTGCTCTCCAGAGATGGCCTTGGACTTGGCATCGGACTCTGGGTGGGCTCCTCAGGCATGGTTTGGCTAAAGGAGGGCCCGTAATCCTTGCCTGAGGTTGAAGCCACTGTAACTGTAGGAGGAGCTGGTTGAGCAGGATACGGGATGCCTCGGTTAATGGGCCGACCTGAGATGTCGAGGTTTTCTAGCGCTGTCTGAACCTGAAGGAGCTTGAGTTCCTGGAGGGCTCCCATCATTGAATTCATCTGAGCATGGAGGCCATCTCCGGCTTCTTTCATAGACACCTGCAGGAAGACAAAGAGAGCAATAAAGAGATGATGATACAGTTCATCATGTATCTCAGCACGAGCACAAAACCAATTACACACCATCAACTGGCCCTAACAAAAGCATTACATATTTCATGAATAAAAACTAGAGTAATAGTCCTGCCTTTTGTCTCTGTGTCAGTTAGACCCATCTCTTATGTGTTTCAGGCTATGCACCTTGTTTAATTATGGGTCATGTGACCTAGTTTTGGATGACAGGACAGGGTCCCATATGGCCTGCGTATGAGAGGGGATCCAACTCATGACAGCTGTAAAACAGACTCTCTCTTTCTCTCCTACTCACTACTTCTGCTCTATCTCAGTTTTTTTTTAATCCATCTATTTACTTTATTTCATATTTGCTCCCTCCTCCGAGCTCTTTGTTTTCAGCCTTACTTTCCTCTCTGCAGCAGTAATCATACACTCAGCTTTTATCCTCCTCCTCCTCCTCCACTCTCTTTCTGCTCTCATCTGTTTAAGAGCCTATGTCATGTGACCTGGACTAACCGTCTTCTCCTGAAGGCAGACAGAAAGCCCAGAGCCAGCATTGTGACCTGTGTCTTAACTTGTAGCCTTGAATCATTTCACACCTTGACCCAGACTTTGAATCATTCTCCTAATGTAACAACAGGTTTATCTTTGTCTGAGAACGTGTTCACATTGGCAAAGCCAGCAACTGATTGATGAGTAAACCTGTTGGGAGCCATTCCCCGTGGGAAGACGAAAGAAAGCATGAAAGGAATTTTTGTAAAACGTGCCGGTGTATGTGGGAAACTGTTGGATGGAAATTTCTAAAGCACACCTACTGTACAGCAGACAACACTGAATGAATTCTTTTCCCTATAAACCAAGCTGTCTGTCGGGTTCTGTCGGCTAAGCTTCAACAACATACATAGCTGTCAACTAAACAAAACAGCAGTTTATTGCACATAAAATAGGCCTCTTTTAAAATAAAAAACCCTCTGAAAATGAAAAACAAGAACTTGCAGGACTCGCATCTCATTCTATAAAACAAATATTAACCTTTAGAAAACCCACACCTTACCTTCTATAAACTTTCACAAAGCTGGCAGTACAGATATCCCTGTCTTTCTCACTGTTGTTGTTCGTCTGCACCTCTGTCAGTCTGTCCCTGTCTCTCACCTTTCAAACAGATCAGTCTGACGACCCCTATATGTATCTCTCTCCAATGGGGGGACACCGCTGGGTGTGACAGCCAATCAGTGCTGCCGTCTAGACTATAACCCCCAAACGGCGAAGGGGGGCTGGGGTCACTGAGGCGGAAACGGACTGACAATGAGATGAGCAAGAGGGAGACAGCGAGTAGGAGGGATGGTGAGAGTCAGCCGGGTGAGTAGGGATGGAAAGGGGGGGGGGGAAAGGGTTGTATGTGATGGGGAGGGATCCCTCGCCATATGTTTAGATGTCGAAGAGAAAACTGTTGATGGATTTAATTATGGATGACACCATAAGGGGTAAGGGGGGTCGGTTGTAGGTGTATCAACACCAGGCTGTGATACTTAATCTTGAGGGAGCAGTGATTGTGTCGAACCCTCGGGTGGGAAAAGTAGCAGAGTAGGACAACATCATAAACAAAGCAACCTATAAGCACCGTGAGAGACTGCCATGTTGCAGAATGTGGGTTTTCTCGGAAAACTGACAAATGTAATAGATTTGACAAAAAATCTTGGTATACATTTACAGTAAAATATTTAATTCTAGCCATGAAAAAACAGGTAAATATCAGAAAAAGCAACAATATTTATTGTGAATGGTGATGTCAGTTTATCAGTCGGCAAGTCCACCACTTTGGTCCTGACTGAAATATGATGAAATGTTGTACAGATCACCTGACTTCTCAATCAACACCACAAGCATTTAGCTCAAAGTATTACTGTGCCTACAACCTCACAGAGCTGCTAGAATGGCTGTAAACTCTTAGTCCTGATATTTGACTTTGCAAAGCCTGTTAGGACAGTGACATGTTCTTATAAATTAGGACCACAACTAATGATTCATTTTATAAATCATCAAAGATTATTCTGCTGATTATTTTCTGATAAATAATTTAATGTATAAAAGACAATTACAGGCCCATAACAATTTCTCAGACCCCAAGATGTCAAGATGTTTACAGATTGCTTTTTATGTCTGAGAAGCAGTCTAAAGCCAAGATATCCATCCATCCATCCATCCATATACCCACGTATCCACGTTGCGGTGGGACTGAAGCCCTGGACAAGTCACAAGTTAATTTACAATTATTAAAAAGAAAAACAAAATATTTTTTAAATTCCTCAATGATAGATTATTTAATTGATCATCAACATTGTTGTTGATTCATTTTCCTTTAACCGACTTATTGACCACTTCTCAGATTCTATACCTTGACACTTATCCAATACCCTGCACCATTAAACCTTCGGGTCAAAACACTTTATCACTAACATATGGCTGAGTAGGTGCACCGGGGCATGAATAGCCTCTAAGATCAGATAATAAGCCTATCAATGCACATGCTGGGAACAAAAGCCTCTGAGCTTCCCCTTGGCTTGCTAAATTAGACAGCGAAGGTACGCGTAATTAGCACAATCAGGTTGTCTCTTGTCTTTGTGCTTTCCACATATGGCTGACTTCATTAGCTGTAATTCCCTGTGTCCCGGGAGAGGCTGGGAAAGAGCGCATAATTACGGTTTACTTTCCTCCACATCAAAAGTCCACAAGTCTGAAGACAAGATGACGTGCAGTTATGTATTGTTGTTACATCTTCAGAAACAGACATGTGGCTTCGGTGAAGTTTATGCAGGGATCAGCTGAGGGATTACCGCACTCTGAGCTGCCAGTGAAACCTGGACCACTTAAATGTATTAAATCTGTTTTTGAAATATTATCTCTTAAGCAGGCTATTCTCATGCAGGCTAAAAAGGCTGCACCTGTTTGCACATGCTAACCAAAAACACCCTAATCTAATACTCGCATGCAACTTTTCCATTATCCCCAAAAGCAGGCGTTCCCACTGGTTATTTAAAACACACTGAGTTGTTTACTGGCATTTCTATTCTAAGGCAACATTAATAATTCATATTGTGCCCTAGGGAACAAACAGAGGAACAGTAGTAAACTAAACCCTATTATTCCACCTTTACCATGCAAACTAACTCCAGGCACTCAACCGCTGCCATTTCAACGCTGAACTTTGTGGCCCAAATATGTCATTCTTTTCAACCTTTATTCCGGCGTCTGCTCAGGATGCTAAAAAGTGACTATAACAATAATGTCCCGCGGCAGTTTCTAGTTCAAACACAGATGTTGTTCATCCTTAGATGTCTCACTTTTACAATGTGTGAATCAGCTCAGGGGCCTCGTTAGGACAAAGACTCAGAGGACCTGACAGGACCTACACAAGCACCTTGAGGTCTTACCCAGAAAAAAATGGAGATGAGAGTAAAAAAAAATGTCTGTCTAATCTAATTTAATAAGAGAACTGGGATAAAATTGGGTCTGCGGGGAATTTTTGTACTGCCCAGAAACACTGGCATCATTAACCCAGTCTTGTGAAGTTTAGTTAAATCTTCTTTTTGAGCTAAAACCTCCAAACTATTTCAGCCATTTAATCTATCAAGCGTGTATTCCTATAAAAAGATCACTATAAAAAAGCAAGCCAAGTGAAAGTCTGCTGAATGAATGAAAAGAAGGACAAACAGGGGCTGTCCAGATTCTCCCCCTTCATCCCCCAGTACTTCTTCTTTGGCTGCAGTGACGCCAGCCAACCAGACATAATTGCCAATTAAGGGATGAATGCTTCAAAGTTTAAGAACAATGGCTGGTAGTCTTGAATTAATGTTGAATGGAAGCTTATTAAAAAGTTCTGGCCATTTTAATTACAAAAAAAAATTGACCGGTAATTCTATATTTTTTATTCTCACATCAAGATCCATCCACTGTGAAGCGGCGCCCTGAAACCATACAATATGCATGCAAGTGAATTAAATACCACAAAGTATAAATAAATCAATGCCCCTCCTGTGCTGTCTTTTGAGATTGAGCTCTCGGCCGTCATTGCAGCCTTCATATTGCCTCTGTCAGTTATGGAGGAAAAAATAAATTCTCTGTGCAAACACACTGAGCTCAGCCCACATGTCCAGACATGCCTCGCTTGAATGAAGTCAGTGTCTCAAGTTTTTTAAGACACGTATGTGTGTGCATGCATGTTGTGTTCACTGATATGCATTCCCTGGATTATTAGGTGGGGCATAAACGAGAAATAGAAACACCAAATACAAACCAACGCTCTATTCTGGCTATGAAATACAGGCTATTCACTGTTGTTGTTTGTTTGTTATTGGCTGGAGGGGGAGGAAGCACTGAGGCCAAGGTTATCAGACCCAAAAGGTCTTCCTGTTTAGAAGGAGCTGGCCAGCAGCAGCAGCAGCAGCAGCTAGTGTACTCCACCCTCCCTCCACCTCCACCCCTAATTAAAAATGAATGGTGGGCTGTGCGGGTCAAGGACAGGAATGGGGTCTCTGTCTGAGGGGATACAGAGAGGGTCTCTGTGACTGAACTGCTGGACACGCCACAGACCACTGTGGACAGCCCCGGGGTCGCGATCAAGAGGGCAATAAAGCTGTGGAGCGTTCGCTGAAAGAAATAAATTTACTGTGACCATGGCAATGAATGCCTCTTTGATGGGAAAAGGTTATATTGGTGACTCTGTTTGGTCCAAATGTCCTCGGGGTCACATTCAGGAGAAAAAGTAGTGTGAATAATGTTTCACAAATACCTCTTCTATGATGTCATTACAAATCATTAAATGTCATTAAGTGTTTTTTCTACTCGTAATATTCAACAAGTTTATATGCTACTGTTTTTGATATAAAATGGGTCCTCACGTTAGGTAGAACTTAAAAGGGTTGGTTCACCTAAAAACAAAAAAACATTTTCTCAACTACCACCACTGGTATGTCACTGGGATATAC